CCAGAGTAAAAGAAAGAACAAACTCGGGGGGAGGGGGGGGGGGACCAAACAAAAAGAACAACGAAAACCAAACACACAAACACATATACAGTAACAAAAACCTTTCTGCATGCTATCATGCATTTGAAATTTTATGAACCGGTATTTATAAATTCGCACGCACACAGCTCAAACTTCAGTGCAATGCTTTATCACTCAACACCTTTAGAGAATAGAATCATGCAAAGAGGAGCAACTGCTTATAAAAATGGTTATTGAGTATTTATTCTGCAATGCAAAGGTGACAAAACAAAAATATAAAAAGGTTGTTATGGCTTAACATTTTTTGTTGCAGATTAAATATGCAGCATTGAAAATGGAAAGGTGTGGCTTCATCTCTGACCAGCAGAGTTAAAAAGAAAAATCTCTCCATTTTCCTTCATCATGGGATACACTGTTCAGGCAATCCAAATTAATAAAGACTTGCACTTTCATATGGACACAAAATCAAGTGTACCAGTTAGGTTTTCACATTCACAGTATATAAGAAAATACACATGGAAGGAAAAGTAAAGGGTTAACTTAACGAGGATTTATTCACAGAAATACATGTAAGTAGAAGAAAATAACAGAAAAGCTAAACAAATGAAATGAAGAGGATCCGAACCAACTTTCACTCTGTAGCTCTTAACTTGCACCCAGTGTGCGTATACCTAGGGCACAGAGGGCCACCAACATGCGCCAATACAGTGTAGGAACCCTGCATTACATCCATTAACTTAAACAAATCTTTAAGATCATGCTTTGAACAGAAAAAGAAAGCTTAGAAGGCATTATGCTGAGTGGGAATAAACATTGAAATATAGCAATCATGTCTTCAACTTCTACAATTGTCTTTATGTGCCAACTAACATTTATGCAGCCTTTTTACCATGTAATTTAAATTTTAGAAGTTTTGATAAAATCACTAGTAGTATATAACCATGCAGAAAGCACATCACACTGACAGCACAGAGCCAAAGATTTTGCACAGGTATATCAGCTTTCCACATTGTGCAGGTTACACACAATACAATATCAACCTTATTCCTAAAATTTCCTAAAAAGATATTTCAAGGCCTAGCTGTAAACTACAGTACTTTATATCTCTATTCTTAATAAAAAATAAAATCCACAAATTTTAAAAAGGAATTAAAAATGCAGGGCTGTATTTGAATTGGTAAACTGCAACACAAACTGGCGCAACATAGGTAAATGAATACCAATCTCACTCTATGTGATGCAAGCATGCTACTTCCCCCACTAATTTAAATTACTTTCAATCACTATGAGCCAGAATGCATGCCTGAACCTTAACTGCACATTAAAAATGTCTTGGCCTATAAATTAAATCTAATGAAGTACAACCATCAAATTATATCCACTACAATGTTTCAATGTAAAATTAAGACGTCTTTAGTTTGATATGCCCAACCCCATTTCTTCTTCCCTCCCGGCCCATCCCACAAAGGTAAAGGAGTGACTCATTTGGCATTTCACAGGGTGCTTCATTGTATAAATTTGTTTCATTTTATTTCCAACTTTTTTCTGGGGTACTTTAAATTCTAACTTCCAAGAACCTGCCTCTATTATGGGTAAGCAAGCTGATTTTAATTCTATTTGCTTCATTTGTGTATTTCTTCATCAGCATGCAAAACAAGGCCCCATCACGTGGGAAACATA